CATACAATATTATTCAACATCAGCTTCAGAAATACAGTGCGGTGGTCAGGCCTCTACACCGACTATGAAGTGGTCTCCCCAACAGGACATGAGTCCATCTCGCCCCCTAAGAAATATTTACAACATTATCGATTATATTCCTCAGACTGTCTTTTTCTATCCCTGAGGCCATACTGCCATTACCAGCAAGGTGTTCTGCAAGTTGGCAATATTTGCTGAATGAATCAATGAATGAGTGAAAGTTCTGGCTTTCCCCTATTGTTTTTAGTCAATCAATCATAATTTATTTTATTTTTAGTAACTGTGAAGAGGCAATACACCATAAAATTAATTTCTCTTAAGCCGAAGCTTCGATTTCCTTCCAATATAATTCAAAGGAGAACGAAAAAAAGGCTGAGAGCCAAGTCCTGAGTTCTGGTGCCAGCCCTGCCGCGAAACGCTGTGAACCCTCGCATAAATTATTTAACTTCTCTGGGCCGTTGTTTTTATCTGTCAAAAGCAGAGCGCAGCGCTATAATCTCCACGGTTCCATTCAAAGCTAAGATTTCTGACATTAACTTGATGCATGTCAGCTTCCCATTTCCTCACACCCTTCCTTCCATGCCTTCAGCAATAGCAGACTCGATGAGAGAGGTTACGATCAGGTCCCAGCTAAGTCTCTCTCCGCATCTCCAGGACGCCCGCCCGCCACCCAGCCGCAGGCCGGTGCCCATTGGCCGGAGCCGCCATCTTTCCCCCTTGGCCCGACCCCAACCGCCACCCGCGGTCACCCGGGAACGCGGACCTCACCTCTCCTCGCAGTCTTTGCATTTCACCTGCAACGGGACTAGCTGCTGGAACAGAACCTGACTCATGTTGGACCGCTGCCCCGCCCGGTGCGCAGAGAAGCCCAGCAGGCCCAGCTCGCGGCACCAGCCTGAAAGGCGTCCGGGTCCCGACAAAGTTTGAGTTTGGCGCTCGGCTTCCGCTGAGGAGGCGGGGAAATAAATAGATGAGAGACGAGGGAGGTTTGGACCTCGCCAGCCACCATCAGCTTTTTCCGGTTTTGCGAGGGATGGGGCGGTAGTTCCGGGCATTAACTCCGGGGCGGAACCCGAGGCGGCCATCTTTGTTAAGGGAAGGGGACCCGAGGGAAGCTAAGAACTTTCCTCCCTTCACCTGATGCTTGCTACCCGAAGCAAGCCCTGAATTATGGCGGCGTCGGCGGCGACGCCGCACGCGACTGGCTTTCCAGCTGAAGGTCGATGCGGTTACTATGTGGAAAAGAAGAAGCGGTTCTGCAGGATGGTGGTGGCGGCAGGGAAAAGGTTCTGTGGTGAACACGCTGGAGCCGCGGAGGTCTGGTACCGTCCTGCCCTCTCGAGAGTCGGAAATAAGTTTTCCTGGTCCTGCACCTCCCTCTCAGACAGATTTCTGCTTCTGTCCCTGGATTTTTCACCCTTTCTTTTAATAAACGCAGCTCTGTCCTCCCTAGGGAGCGATGATGAACCCTAGTAAAGTGCACTGTTTTCTTGTACTAAGTAACGGGCCAGCAGCGACCCGTTAATCTTGATACTAACACACGGTAATGCTTGATTTTACTTTTACTCCAAACTACCGCTTCTTACACTTCGCCCACTGTCCGCCTCGTGATCGGAAGCAATAGTTTCACTAACGCTGTTCCAATTGTTCCGTGATTCCCCGAATCACTTCTTGTGAATGCGATTGAGAGAAAACTTTTTTAAAAGTTTATTTAGACGTATAATTTCTTGAAAGCAATTTATAACTGCTAGAAAGGGGAAGGAAAGATTTTTGAAACATGTAAGTATTGACTCTCCCTGTAAAATGAAAACAGATAACATGCAATTTTGTTCGATAATACAGTTATAAGTATACTTGTACTGTATGTATTTTTATGTATGTTCATTTGTTTAGAATACAGATAAAAAAAAGAACAAGAGGAAGGGAACGTTTGTAGAAATAGAGCATCTTTAACGTTTTGGGAAGATTAAACCAAATAGACACATTTGGTTTCATGCCTTCAGAATGTCCGGTATTGTTTACATTTTTTGTTAGCCCCGTGGTTTAGCCTTCTAGGCAATATCCAGTACAGCTCAGCCGCAGAGCCCTTCATTGCTACTGTCCATCTTAGCCATAACTCTATTCATATTTTGGTGTGACTGACTGATATTTGCCTAGAGTGAGGCATATTGAAACAAGCATATTCTTGTTTTGGAATGTGGGAGACCCTGTGACTTACCCTGAGAACTCTGTGAAGTACACCCACAATTGTATTCGCTGGTTTTGAGGGTACCAGCAAACATCCCTTGATTGAAGAATGAGATTTATAATAGAAGGATTTTGTTCTCACTGTAGACTTTACCTTAGTTACACATCTAGAAGGTGACTGCAGCAGATGGTGATAATAGAATATGAATAGATCCTTACAAGCTGACCGATGTTCCTGGCGAGGAATGACATGTTATTAGTCCCTTGATGGACTATTGCAAAACTCCAACAGGGAACACTTGCCATGAATTGATTTGGTTTTCAATTGTGGGCATCCTACTGAATCTGTAATTTATGATATAATTGGGTGTTATGTTTCCATCTTTTTTTTAAGTGTTATACTAAGGACTGACAATTAAGTTTGCAAACTTGTTGCAATGTTATTGCTAACATTTTTTTGATATCAGAGGGGGATTATTCATTATGAATTTGTACCAGTGGGATAAACAGTTAACCAGGTTTACTATTTGGAAGTGCTGAAAAGGCTGCGTGAAAAGTTAGATGAGCTGAACTTTTCACCAGCAATTCATGGCTCTTGCATCACGACAATGCACCAGCTCACACGGCACTGTCTGTGAGGGAGTTTTTAGCCAGTAAACA